TACAGTTTGGTAAAACCATTTTTTTTTCTCCTTCAGATGTGACATTGACTGTTGACAGCAAAAATATACACACACAGTTACCATCCTCGAATCTTTGGATGATGTCTTCTCTTATGAAAGAAACATGCTGGATTGACACTTATTACAGCTAGGTTCATTATTTAATGAAAAGGGGCATGAATGTTTTTTATATTACCAGTTTGCTTGTGCTGCCTGAACAACATATTCATATTTTTAAAATGAACATGAAAAGAGGCAGGACTGTGTTTTAGCCTATACTAAATTTCGTTTTTTGTGGATATACATTGCAATGAGGATAATCAATCAAAGTATGTCAAGACTAGCTGCGTGACGTTATCAGGCTGTTGTTCCATCTTTTTGCAGTAATAGCGCGTCCTCATCCTCGGACGTTCGTACTCCTGAGTCAATCATGTCAAGTCCGAACTACCAAGAACACAAGTCCCAACATGTTGAAATTGCTTGAAATTGAAACACTACCTTACAAGCTCAACCGACGAGCAACGCGACGCTATAACGACAGACGCTGACGCTGTCTGTCTTGCCAGCGCTGACGCAGTCATGTAAACATAACAGCTGACAGGACAATTAGACAAAAATATATCGTTTTCCTCAGTGGACATGGCGAACTGATTGTTTTTCACAAATTAATGACCTGACCTGGGGAATGAAGCTCTAACAGACGCAGGTAATTTCACATCCTCGGTCGGTGTCGATGTTTGTCGATCTTTCTGTGTATCTTACATAATAAATTAAAAATATATTTAAAATATAATATATATATTGCTCCACAATAGGTACTGTGACACTTTCTTTGAAAAACAGTATAAATGTTAATTCTAATTCTGGATGCTTTAAGATTGGAAGTAGAAGTTTAAGATTTTAACATAAAATTATCACAAATTAGCCTATATTGTAAAATGTATTGAAGTATTTATAAACATAAAAGGACAGGGTGTTTTCCACACACAAATCAGTTTAGCTGTCTGTTTAGCTCATAGTGTCCAATATGGGCAATATTTCAAAGGGAGCCCAGCTGGACCCCGAGGGGGGCCCCGCTCCCTACCTCGCACCGGGCCTCGCGTCAGCTAAGGACGGCCCTGTATGTGCTTAATCACTTTCTCTACAGAAAAGCCCCACTCAGCAGACACCAATCAAACACAATCATGGTCCCACACAGGACAGGACAGGGAAAGGCTTATCTGACACTGCAGCTGGACACCAGCTGGGCTCCCCACCATATATGTGGACCACCATGAAAACGCAAAAAAACAAAGGTGGGGCTAAATTACACTCCTTCTACACATACATTTACTAACCGTAGACCCTCCCCCACTGAGTCAAACCCCTGAAACGGCTGCTTCACACACAAAAGCCTGAGGTCAAGTTCACTTGCTGATGAACTGCCTCAAGTTAGTAGACAAGGCAGTCACAAAACAGCAGCCTCTGACACTATTGAGTCATTACCAAGCGCAAGTCTCTAACCTGTAATTTTAACCCGCTAAAGCATAATGTGCCTTCTTCCATTAACTAAAAAAGCCAGATTAAATATTTATGATTTGAGTGAAAGTCAGAGGCTCAGGAAGGATGTCATTCAAGAGCTCACAAAGCTGTCAGTGTCTATCCTGACGCCCAAAACATAGTCAAATAAGTATGCAAATGCTACCAAGTGTGTGGTTTTGTTGTACACACACAGCCAGGGCCAGATTTACCTCTTTTCATGACATAGGCACAACAAATTTTTGGGCCCCCCTTCCCTATTAATAGGCTATAATAGGCCTAATATTACCACCCAAGCAAACAAAAATATTTCTTAATCAGTGGAAACCGTTACAGTGTTTACTATCGCAATAAGCGCGTGCGTTCAGTCAATGAAAATCGAATGTAGTTCTTAATTTGTTTGAGAACTGAGAAAGACCGTTCCATATAGGTGCGGCGTCGTGGCCACATAACCACTTCGGGAGTGCATTATTTCTCTAATAATTTTAACGGCCTGGAGTCACAACCACACATCAAGACATTGTTCAGATGATTTGTTTCAAGGACATTTGACATGTTTCCGTCCTGAAATCTCGTGTGTTGAACTAATTTTTTACGCACCTCATCCCAAACCTTCCGTTGCAAATTCCAAAACGTCATTTTAGAGCTAATAACAGAGGCTTGAGCCATTGATATGCAGGCTAATGCAGTTATTAATGCAGTCTAATAGGGTTATTAGAGAGAGGGAGAGAGTGATTAAGTGCATGTGAATACCTGCGTTTATGCGTCTCTCAGCAGCGTTCAGCAGCAGTGTCTACTAATAGCGAATCTTTAAGTTAAACTGCTTCAAGAACCTCGCAACTGAGAAAT